AAATATTTGATATATACAATTAGGTTGAAATTCAAAATCTTTACCTGCCATTTAACTACTTTTATGGGACTAGAAGAGAGTGACACAATGTGAAAAGTACATACATCTTTCCACAAAACCATTTGAAAGATTCCTTATAGAAATATACAATTCAATTGTTGCTTTGAAAAATTTAAGAATTATAAAAAATAGCAAAAACGTATAGAATTATAAAAAGGTGTGCGCTGTTAGATCCTCACAAACACAGCATGGAGCAAACAATGAGAAGTTCTACCTACCAGGTAGAAAATTCAAAAATGCTTTAGTTCAATACTTCACCTAACCATTTTCATGTTACGGGGATAGTTCGTGGAAGTGAACGACAGGTATTTGTTTACGTATTTCCTGCACGGAGTTTTCTTTTGCCTTTTGCTAGCTTCATCAGCTTCAGAAAGTGGCTTCTATTACATATCAAAGAATTCTCAATTAGTTGTCCTTTGGTTGTCAGTGCGGGTACACAAGCGTTTAAGTTTTTTTATTTTTGTTTATAGTATTTTCAGTATTTTCGTTATGTGGTTTAAAGTAAGTAAAATATTTTTTAAACCATCTAAAAATTGAATTGAATCATTTCTTTAATAGTTTATATACTTGCTTACGGTTCTTAACTTGGGATTATGTCGCGTCTCATTCGTACCTAAATTCTTTGATGAGGATAGTGCAATTTCGGTGAATACAGTAAATTCAACGCCGTTACCAATTGAGGTGAAGAACTCTTCAAATCTACTTTCATACTATCATGCTGTGCAACCATATCCAATGTATGAAATTGTACCAGCTATGAGCCAATTTCCCTCTACAACTGTTTTGCCTGGCAACATAGTTAACCCAGATGAATTTCCAAAAGATCTTTTAGATATAGCCAAAAATAAATTGGGTTTGAAATCTATGGATGAAGTACCCACTATATCCGCTCTAGGTGAACTATTAGGCACTAAAAGTCCCACAGAAACTATAAAACAAATCAGACAACTTACTTCCACAGAAAAGGGCATAGCTTTTCTGAAAGTAAATATACTTAAAATAAAAAAATTATTATTTACTTAATTAAATCCATTTACTTTTCTAGGCTTACTTAGAGTCCGCTGACTACACAGATAATGCTCGCACAGCAGTAGAAAATGATGAAAATGAAACCGATAGTGTGTATGGTAAAGATACTTCTAATGATATAAAATTAGTACCAGTAACAGATCCCATCAAAAAAATCACACCAAAACCACAACTGGGTTTCTTGGAACGCATGTCAAAATATTTCAGCAACTTATTACCGCACCACGATACAGTTCATGTTGCTCCAACAACACAAATAAAACCACCAATAACACAAATAAAACCTCCAGTAACACAAACAAAGCCTTTGCCTCAGATAATTACGCGTTTTGCTACACAATATCGAAACCTACCACTGCCAGTTGTTGTTGGTAATTTTAGTAAAAAACCAATGCTGATACGTAATCCTTTACCCTATCATTACCCAATACCAATGCGTCCACAAACTGTATCCGTCGTGGAAAATGTGAACTCATCTAAAATTGCGACACCAAAAGCACTCCTGCCGCATATACAACAATTGGCAAGAGTAACTAAAATACCACAAAAGAAATTGGAAACATTTCTACAAAGCAAACCCAAATTAGCAGAATTGGCGACAAGAGTTAGCACTTTTTCTCTAGCGCATGACAGAGATACAAAAATCGATGCGCAATTAATTGCTGCTGTTGAGAAGGCAATTGGACAAGATGAAGATTTAAAGAAATTATTGAATTCGGCGAAAACATTGAAATAATTTCGGTAGTATCTTGCGACAATCAAAACCTTTCAATATATTATATTAATATAACAAAACAAACTATAAATGAAGTGCAAAATATTTCTTAATTGCTTTCCTTGGCGAGACAAATGCGTTTCAATGACATGTTAATTTTTCTAATATTCTAACAAAAAATAAATTGTAAATTTTTACAAATTCAAACGTTTGAATGCGTAATATAAAACATATTTTATATTATTGATATTACGTGTTTTAATCTATTTAATAAACAATAAATTCTTAATTTGTAAAAGTAAATTCTTTGTACATTGGTTAGCAAAGATTTAATGCTTTAATATGTAATTAAAAGTATAAAGCATTAATTTATATTGCCTACATAATAAAATAGAAGTAAATATATACACCACAACATAACATACTTTTAATTTTTTTAATACAAATCAAGTCAAAATATGCGTTTCTTACATTTTTCGATTTATGTCGCAAGAAGAATCTCGAAATAATACAAGCGACATATTTGAGTTAACACTACAAGTTTTGCTCTCTTTTACAAAGGAATTTAATTTTCTATATTAGTCCTAAACTAAGATCAACAACAACCATTTCATGATTGTTTTGATACACCGACAAGAGCAGGTCGTATGCAACGTTCGTGCAGCTTATAACCTAATTTGGTCACTTCCACAACAGTGTTCGGCTCAACAGTTGTATCCACCTGTGGGTAAATCAAAATATATTTTTGTTTATTAATTATGATTTTTAAATAATGTTTTAAAAAATTATATAATATATATTAATTTATTTTTGATAAAGTTGAATAAGATACATGTACAAGGGATGTATTCACTATTGTGAGTAACGAACTCGGTAGCCGAGTGAAGTGGTAACAGTGCAACAACGCGAGCACAACAAAGCATCAGCAACACAAGTATATCAGATTACCAAACTCGTTATTTAGGATCGTAAATATCTCAAATACAAATATTGAAAGTAATTATATTCGCATTGACTTAAAACAGAAGAATTTATATTTTAATATTTTAAATATTAATAACAATGTATGATCTTGTTTAATGGAAATGTTTTTTAATATAAGTAATCATTAGACGACATATTTGACAAAAATTTCTTTGTCGAAATAAGATAAGATTTAAATTTGCTAGAGAGAGTATTTGTAAATTACAGATGCTCAAACAATCTTTGATGAATTTATATTTCATTTGAATTTTATATAATTCTAAGTGTCGTGATACAGAATTATATTAAATATACGAAATGTGATAATTAAGAGATTGTGTAGAAGTTTTTTTAAAGACTTCATTCAACAAAAAAATTTCAGTTTCATTATCAACGCACAAGTTGTGCTATAGAAAATTTATTTACCGAATTAATTATGAAATTATCTGCTGATAATGCCAAATTATTCTCGCATTAGATAAGACTTATGCTTATGACTTATGCTTGTGTCTTGCTTTTATTAGAAACTATGAATTCTGCAGTGAATAGCATTGTGAAAAATAATAAATTATATAAATGACTTTGGTGTACACACCTTTTGGAATAAAGCTTCATGAAAATTGGGGTTAAATTTCTGATTAATGGGATCCATTGGTTCAAGTCCATGTCTCTTAAAGACCTGCATTAATGATGCTTGCGTCATATTGAGACCCTCAAATAAACTTTTAAGATGTGGGTTTTTATCGTTTACCTAAAATTTAGAAATTAACGAATGCATTTCGTAAATTTAAGCGATCTTACTGCATCTTTAGGTACGGCAGCAGTAGCATGTCCTAACGTATCAGCAACCTCAAGCAAATCCTTGCAAAAACTTTGAATACCAAACACCTTTGCATCTGCAATTTGTTTAGTCAACCGAACACGTAAATTTTCACCATCAGCAAGTGCACGTTTGTACTTATCTAGGATATCATCATTTTTCGCTTTGAGTTCATTCAGCTCTTTCGTAATATGTTCTACCTCATGTGCTAATTTGTCCACGGCTTCTACTTTACCGGTATTTGGTGGGGCTGCTTCTGTTTGTGCTACTTTAGTTTTTTCAGCGGAAGTCTCAGAGCCGTAAAGCCTGCACATGGCTATGGATTTATGTGGCAGCACACCGTTGGCCATAATTCTATATTAAAAAAGATTTATTATTTATGTTTACACATATAGTTTGCGTCATGTAAAGCAATGTAAAATTATATGTAAGCTGGTTAAATTATTACGTCACATTAGTTTTTTATTTGTTTAGGCGCAGCGGCATACTCACTCGTTAATGTGTAAGTTTTTTGGCAAAGCTGCTACAAAATGGCTTTTCCTAGCAAATAATACAGCTGCAACTCTTCCAGACATTTTAGATTTTAGCTAATTTGTATAACTTCACAATATTTAATTTAGCAAAAGCAGAGTTTCACTAAACGAATGAAATCTGCACGAATTGCGTGACACTTCTTAATACAATTTGACAGCGGCACATATGTCAGCAGCGTGAGTTCGCAAAAATGGTTTCTAATGACTAAAGCGCCACCTGTTGTAAAAAAATGGTAAGTGTATTTGTCAGTTTTATTTGTTGCGAAAGTGTTTTTAAATTAACAAAAGCACGTTATTTTCACTTTAATTAATTATACTCAACAAATAAATATTTGAATTTCGGAGTTTTAATTTTTAGTTTTTGGTTGTTTAAAAAAAATGTAACATCTAATAAATATTATTTTTAATGAAACCTAAATCAAAAAAAATTAAAAATTTTAAATTTGAAATTTTATTAGTTTGGCATAATAATTTAAATTCAAAATTGTGCTGTCAACATAAAATTAAAAAAAAATTGTTGTAATTGAAAATGAGATAGATTAGTTGCAATTAGTTTTCGTTTGATTTCTAGAATTTTTTTGACTCTATTTTGACTCTATTTATGATTCCATATTGTATTGGTTTGCTACAGACATTAGTCTATGAATGAATAATAATTAAAATATTGTTTCATTTTCCAACTCGAAGTTTAGGCCATCCATGAGCACCTAAAATTATATAATGTGAAACGACATCGTATGACAATATCTACTATATATTTTAAGACTATTCAAGCGTTCAAGTGGTGATGATAATAAATAATGATTCTGCGAACCGCTGGAAGCTAGTATTCATGGCAATATGTTTTATCACATTTAACTTGTAAAATGTTAACTGATGTCGTTTAACCTCCATGTGACATCAATGAATAGTTACCTAGCACTCGCTTCGTAATGAACTAATAGTGCCTACAGTGAATCCCATCCTAACCACTTAAAGTTCACAGAGTTTAGCACGTATCACGTAAAATGAAAATGGAGCCCGAATGTTAGAGATGTCTGGAGAGAAGTGCTATATCAGGCAGAAACCCGATGATAAATAAAGTAAGTAATATAACTGATTTGTTTTGCAACTCTGAGAGGATCACAATGAGCAATAAATGTTTCCGAGTCGAAGTGATGGCAGTTGTATTAGCACTACCTTCTTAACTTGCCTATAGTCTTTACTTTACGTAAGAAATATATTTAATACAGTGCAAGTTCTGTAGAGTGAACACCGATGGCTGCAGCAATTCCATCTGATTAGAAGAATATAATGTGTATGAAAAATTGGGTATAGTTTCAACAATGCACATTCCACATAATACAGATGTCCCTCGATTGTACACGTTTTTATTTCTACCTATACAACGATTAAGAGTGACGTTTCGTTATTTTGTCTATAATCGATTTCAAAATGTTTTTCTACTTTTCAAATGTTTTGTTTCCACAAAAACTTCTATCCTTGGATTTCGGAAGTATTGTATGTATGGTATTGAATTGAAATAATTATTTAAAATCTGAATAATTGATTTAATCACGTTTTTCGTTTATTGCACCGTTGCTCTATTCATCATTCGAACACATTAAACGGTTGTTTCGTGAAATAAAATAAATTAATTTCTGATTGGAGTCGAGTTCAACACTTCATTCGCATATCGTTTGAATCGAAAAATTATACAAAAAATAATAAATAAATGTGCAAATAAAAACAAATAAAAACAAAAACACAAAACAAAGTATTTGAGATTGAAAAGGTGTTAAAAACAAGCTCGTACACATTTTCTATCAAATTTAGATCAAAAGTC